GCTCCAAGTGCATACCACATTCTAACAGATGTCTTTCTTGCTAATTTTTTCAAATTTTTATTGTGAAAAATTTGAAATATAAAGAAAACATGAAAGCTTAATACAACCAGATACATATCTCTATCACCCAGATTCAATAGTTAATATTTTGCCATATTTGCATTATTTATTTATTTATTTATGCTTTTATCACCAAACCATTGAAAAGTAAGATTTCTGTATGAATCTAAGAACAACCAATATAACCACAACACAAACAACCCAATTAGCAACCTAAGGAAAGGACAATGATTTGTCAATATCTAATATTCATTCTATATTTAAATGTACTTAATTATATTAAAAATGTCTTTTCTAGCTGTGACTTTTGTGTTTTTTAACCAATAGTTTAAGTGAAACTAAATGGTAGTGATATGGTGTGGGGCATCTATTTTAGACACAACTTAACAATGGCTTAAACAAAATTATTTCTCTTTCATTTAGTCTGGAGATGTGCTGATACAGAGTATTTAGTGTGGCTTTTCCATCCTGACATCCAACACACAGCTTCATCTCTGATTTGAAAGATGGAAGCTGCAACCTGTTATTATGGCACAGAAGAGACACAGGGAAGTATAACTCCAAGGGCATAATCCAGAGGTTGCATACATAATCTCTGTACACATTCCATTATGCAGAATGTAGACACATGGTCCTGTCTAGCTGCAGCAGAGGTTGGGTCAAACAGGCTTTATTCTTGGTGGCCATGTGTCTAGATTTCCCTGGACTTGTACATCTTGTATCTGAAGGAACAATGGTCTAGGGGCAGTAATTAACCATCTTTGCCAGAGATATTCCTGGAAATAACTAAGCTATGACAAACTATATTAAAATTAATTCCCTATACATTCCAATATAATGATGGGCTTAGACTTATTTCAGGTAACACTATTTTTGTCCTATACTAAATAAGCTTTGTGTTATTAATACTCATTTTGAGTTCATCAATCTATTTTTTAGGATTTTCTTTCTCCTTCCTTGTCAAGGTATAAGCTGTCAGTGCTTATTATTGTAACTAATTGTGTTTATTTTCCTTTATAAAATTTTCCTTTTTTGTTGTCATCAAGTTTCTAAAAAGAAGAATTTTATCTAAGTATAACATATAACATACTTTTATTTAAGTATAACATACGTGCAGAAAAATTCACAAGTCATAATTGCACAACATGATGAAAATAGTGAGAAAACAGTGATACATATAAACACTATTCAGATTAAGAAATGGAGTGTTATTAGTATTCTAGAAGCAGTTTTGTGCAGCCTCCACATACTACTCCCCTTCCCGTCCCAGAGATAACTATTCTGATCTTTAACACAATGGTTTAATTTTGTATGTTTTTGAATTTTATATAAATGGAATCATACAACATATATTCCTTTTTGTCTGGCATCTTTTGCTCAATATTATGCTTATGAGATTCACTGATGTTAATTCATGTGGCAGGTAGTTCATCCATTTTCATTGCTTATGGGTTTGTATTAATGTATCATAATTTATTTATCCATTATATTGCTAATGAATAATTGGATTGCTTCTTAGCTTTTGGCTATTACAAATGCAGTTGTTATAATCATTATTGTGTTTGTGTTTTTTTTTTTGTATACATATGTATATATTTGTTAGGCATATGTAATTCCTGGGAATGGAACTGCTAGATTATAAAGTAATTAGATATTTGTATGTATTTGTATGTCCTTTTTTTTTTTTTTTTGCCTTATTGCACTCAGACTTCTAGTGTAATGTTGAATAGAAGTTGTCATAAAGAAAATTCTTGTCTTTATCTGGATCTCTAGGAGGAAACTTCCATAACTTCACCATTAAGTATGACAATTTATTTTAGGAGTGTTGTACATGACACTTGTCAGATTAAGAAAATTCTTCCTAGTCCTAAATTTCTAAGGTTCTCTCTTCATAGGTGGGTTCTGAATTTTATCAAATGCTTTTTCTATATTTTTGAAATGGTTGTATAATTTTTCTCTTTATTTGGTTAAAATGATAAGTTTACTTGATTAATTTTCAAAACTCAAACCAACCTTGCATTCCTGAAATAAACCCACTTTGTGATATATTATCCCCAAATACCCCATATATCAAAGAAGATATCACATTGGAAATTAGAGTATATTTTGGACTGAATGGTAATGAAACTATGATATATATCAGATTATAAACACGACATTCTTATACTATTCTTTTAGTGTTTATCCTAGATTATAAAACATGCATCCTTGATTTACTAAAGACTAATATAAACTGTAACTTTTACAACTTACTGAACAAAATATGTAATTTAGAACACTTTAACTCCATTTACTCCCCTCCCAACTTATGTGTTATTGCTGTTGTTATGGGTTAAATTGTGTCCCCCAAAAAGACATGTTGAAATCCTAACCCCCTGAACCTGTGCATGTGACCTTATTTAGAAATAGGGTCCTTGCAAATGTAATTAAGTAAGATGAGGTCATACTAGATTAGTGTCCTTATAAGAAGAGGGAAATACAGACATAGACACATAGGAGAGAAGGCCATTAAAAAATGGAGGCAGGTTTGGATTGATGTATCCAGAAGCCAAGGAACACCAAGGTTTGCCAGCTAAGAGGGAAGTAAGGATAATCCTCTAGAGCTTTCAGACAGTATAGCTTTTACCAACACCTTGATTTCAGACTTCCGGTCTCTAGAATTGTGAGAGAATACATTTCTGTTGTTTTAAGTTACCAAGTTTGTGGTACTTTGTTATAATAGCCCTGGGAAACTAACACAGTTGTCATGTGTTTAAATTCTATATAAATTTTAATCTCTATGAGAAAATACTGGCATTGTTTGTATAGTGAATATTCATTTATGTTTATTCATGTTTGACTCTTTCCATTTTTCTTCATTTCTTCCTAAATCTCTGTACATCCCTTCTAGGATTGTTTTCTTTCTTCTTGGAGTACTTCTATCAGTATTTCCTTACTGTGGGTTTGCTGTCCTTGAATTCTCTTAGTTTTGTTTGCCTGAAAATGCCTTTGTTTTACCTTCACTTTCTGAAGTATATTTTTGCTAGGCATAGAATTCTAGGTTAGTAGTTCTTTTAACATCTAGCACATTGAAGTTATCATCCATCATCTTCCGACTTCTGTTATTTGGTTTTGTGAAGTTTTACTATAATATAGATTGGTGTTGTTCCCTTTGGCTTTGTGTTGCTTGGGATTTACTTTTCTTGATTCTGTGACTTGGTGTCTTTCATCAGTTTTTGACAATTTTTGTCATTATTTCTTTACATATTACTTCTGCCCAAATCTTTCTCTTCTTTTCCTTGTGGAACACAAATTATAACTTTATTAGACCTACTTATTCTTAATCTCTTTTTATAACCTGCTTAAAAACCTTCAGTATCTCCTTTTCCATCTGTCCTTCAGCAAACATGTATTAAACAACTATTATGGGCCATGCACTGAGTTTAGTGCAGGAGACAAAAAGGTGAGCAGTATAAAAGCTATTTCTATCCCTTCAGAGCTTATAGTCCAGGGATAAAGAAAATTTATAATAGAGTTCAGTAAGTGCTATGTATGATAGGGGAAGGCATATCAGGAACATAAAACGCATTTGGTGGGGGCCAGAAGATGGACTCTTTGGAGGTAGGGACATATAAGTGGAAATGTTAAGAATGAATAAGATTTATCCATGTGAAGAGATGGGTGACAGAATTTGTGAAGGCCTAGGGGTAGTTATGGCATGCTGGAGGAACTAAAAGAGCTTCAAGATGGTTGAGGCATAGAACACAAGATGAATGTTTGATGAGATAGGTTGGGCCAGGCTACAAGACACATAAACAATTTCATGGGTTTGAGCTTCATCATGAGTACAATGGGAGAAAAAAATGAAAATATTTAAGCCAGGAAAGTGAAGAGGTTAAGATAAATAAACAAGATTTTGTGATTAATTGTAGGTGGGAGTTGAGAAAGGGAAAGGAGTAGAGAAAGATTCTCAGGTCCTAGGATTTCTGAATGGCATTTGCTAAGATATAGGGCAAAGGAGGAATGACAAACGTTGAGGGAGAGATGATAATGAGATAAATTTTGTAAATATTAAGAATGAGACACTCATGTGACATCTAAGAAATTATAGGCAATTGGTCTCATGAATCAGGAATTCAGATTAGAGGGTTAGGCTAAAGATACAGATTTTAGAATCTTTCCTACTCCATTTCATTTCCCATATAGCTTTCAAAGTTCTCTTTTAAAAATAGATCTGTCTATATGAGACACCTGCTTATAAACCATCAGTGTCTCCTCCTAGCTACCTGATAAAGTCTAAGCTCTTTCACATAATGGTGTGCAAAGACCTTTAAAATTTAGTACCCACCAAAATTCCCAGACTAACATCTGTTTCAGTTGGATACAATTTCTCACTGTTCTCTAGACACAAAGGGTTTATTTTTATCTCCATATGCTTTTAAAATATGCTGTTTCTTTTATTCAGAATGCTTTGTCCACTTTCTTTTCAACCTGAATAACTTCTATTCATCCTTCAATATCATAGTTCAAATACATCTCCTCTGAGTTGCCTTTTCAATTGCTCTCTTCTCACTTTATAAATGTTTCTAAAACAATGTTTTTCAAAGGGCAGATCCTGTCCCATTTATTGGTTATGAAATATATTTAGAGGGTCATTACAGATACTTAAAATGAAATAGAACAGAGTAGGAAATAGTTCAAAAAATTAAGTATTGTCTTTTGAAACTTTTGTTTCAGTTACATATGTACATCTGTATATGTATATTGAAAAATCATATAAACCATATTTCTTACTGTGGTTTATGGTAAAAAATATTTGAAAGTCATTACCCTACTATTCTTGTTGCTTTACTAGATGTCTTTCTCCTTAGAAAGAGGGTGCCTTATTTTTGTGTGTGTGTCTCTGGTGCTTAGCACTGTGATTCATTATAGCACTCAGTCATTTTTTAATAAATTATTTATGGTAGAAAATGCTTTGCATAGTTGCCAATGTTCTCTTCCTCTTTCTTTTGTTCAGTGTTCCTTCAATTCTTCTGTTAAGGTAAAGAAATAATAATAGAAATAGTTTAAGTTTGTTGATAACATATCTTTAATACATATTCATACTAAAAGGAATGATGTGTTCTAGGTCTGGAAGATATATTAATGGTTATGGATAAATTTTCTGAGCTTCAACAGTTCAGAGTGGAAAAATTTCAGAATTTCAAGTTATATTTGAGCTGAACAACAACACAATACAAAACACCACCACCTCCCAAGTTCAGGGAGAGGGGGAAGAGACAAGGATCACAGAAGGAACTACAGGGGAATTCTGCTTTACAAATAATATTTACGTCTTTTAAAATAGAAAATCACTGATGCAAATATGACAACATATTAACATTTTCAGTTGGGGCAGTAGGCAGAGGAGTGTCTTTTGCAACTTTCTGTATTTTATAGCTTTAAAAAAATTTCAAAGAGGGAAAATTTCCTAGTTCTATCACTAACTTTCTTTATCTGTGAAATGGAAGTAATAATGGGACTTATAATGAGTACCTGTCATCAGAATTCTCTTAAGATAGGGAAGGGTATATTGACAGCCTTTTGATAAAAGTTGTGGTGATCTCTGAAGTTATGGGAGTAAGTATGTTTCTAACAGAGAAAATGAGAGCAATTATGGCAAGAAATTTGTTTTTTCATGGAATGAAGGGCCAGTGGATGCCCTCTCCCCCTTGGTAGGATAGCTGAAAGGACTCTTCAGGAGAATCTATTCACAATTTTTGGCTTTTTTCATAAGGGGCTTTGATGAAACCTTCTTTCATAATTCCATAATTATCAGGAATACTTTCTTTGTATGAGTAGTTTTTTGTGTGTGTTTTAGTTTGTTGTGAACATTCAGTGTGGAAAAATGAATTTCATATCTTATTTAATCCTTCTATAATGTGTAGGCACTAAGTTAACTGGAAGCCTTTGTGCATTTTGTGATTTCTATCACACTGGATAAAATTCCCATATATTTTAGAAGTCCAGAACATTCCCCCAAATTTCTGCTAATTCCAATGGGAATAAGTTGTCAGCAGATCAAATGATAAGTGGTAACTTTTGGCAAACATCCTGTTGTTGCTTTAGAAGCATTCTCATCAAGAGTAGAAACAAGCCAAAGATTGTCATGCTCATTGGAACTATTCCATAATATATCAGAGAACCTAGTCAATTTAATAACATAAGAAAATGGTAAAGGACTTCTGAGGAAGATGGCAGAGCAGGAGGATCCTAAGCTCACCTCGTCCCACAGATACAACTAAATAACACCTACATCAGTGCAAATAAGAAAATAACGTAAAGACTGGCAGAACAGACTCTCCACAGCTAAATGTAGAGAAGAAGCCACATCAAAGAGGGTAGGAAGGGTGGAGACATGGTTGGGAGCCAAGCAGACCCACAGGACTTTGCCAGGGAGGGAGGGATGCCACCAGCATAGAGAGGGGGAGAGGACCAGACCCCATACCAAGCACCTCAGGCACAGGGAACACACATGGAGAAGATGAATCCCTATAACATTTGGCTTTGAAAACCACAGGGGACTAATAATCAGTGGGGCTTAATACCTGGAACTTAAAAAATCAGTGGCTCAGCTCTGGGATAGCTGGGAGGGTGGAGTCCCTGCCCTTATAGAGATAGCACAACAAACAGCCCTCCTAAGTTATAGCATAGAAGCAGCAGTTTGAAAAATGCCTGGAATATACAAGAAGGAGATTTATTTACTAATCTCAGAGCATGTACTGGAGAGGCAGGGATCTTTGGGATACTACTGCAAGAGCAAAAGAGCTAGTGGCTGTACCCCAGCCGAGATATATGGATGCCTGGGGGAACAAGTGCAGTGCCAACACTCTCCACCTAGCTTGCTAAAAGCATACCCCACTCCTGCATGGACCTGCCCATGCACCCAGCCTCTACAGGAATTCTCCAAAGTGGCTAACGGTCCCCTACCACAGCAGAGGCAACCTTGTTAACACTGCATGCCAGGGCCCTGTGAGCTTCTTTGGATCTACCCCCTTCAACCTGGTGAGCCTTGGCAGTTTTCCTGGGTGACAGCAGACCAGCATGACCCTTGCTGGCACCTCAGCCCACCCCCATGTTTTCCTGTGGACCTCCCTCCTCCAATATGCCCTTGGCTGGAGCCCATCCAAAGTAGTACAAACAGCCCCAGCAGGGACCAGGACCACTGCAGAGTGACTCTTACCAGAGAGGGAAAGATAATGAAAGAAACCAGTCAAAATGAAGCCCCACAGTGGGCTGGGGCAACTATCAGGTCTGACTACAGGCCCTGACCACCAGCAAAACTTCTCAGGGGGCAACACAAAAGAAAGCCTGGTGCTACTGAAGTGCTGGAAAACAACTGGTCTGATTCAACTCAAGCCCAAGGTGGCCCCAGACTGGCCCACTAACAACACAGGGACCAAACACTGCCCACAACAGGCATAGAGTCATTGCAGATAACTGGAATGAAGGTGAGTGTGACTCAGCTACAATAATAGGGCACACACAACAAACATAGGAGGCACTCCTGAAGTGCCAGGTTCTGGTGAACAGGGAGGAACATTGCACTGCAGGGCACTACAGGATCTCTTCTTTATAAGGTCACTACTTTCAAGAGCAGGAGATATAGCTGACTTTCTTAACATATAGAAAGAGAGTTAGACAAAATGAGGAGACAGAGGAATACGTCCCAAATGAAAGAACAGGACAAAATCACAGCAAGAGAGCTAAATGAAATGGAGATAAGTAATATGCCTGCTAGAGAATTAAAGTAATGGTCATAAAGTTACTCACTGCACTGGAGAAAAGAGTAGAAAACATCAGTGAAACCCTTAACAAAGAGACGGAAAACATTAAAAAAGAACCAATCAGAGATGAAAAACTCAAAAACCAAAATTAAAAATACACTAGATGGAATAAAGGGTAGACTAGAGGAGGCAGAAGAATGGATCAGTGACCTGAAGGACAGAGTAATGGAAAACAATCAAGCTGAACAGGAGAAAAAAACTAATAATAAAAAATGAAAATAGACATAGAAAACTCAGTGACACCATGAAACATAACATTTGTATTATAGGGATCCAAGAAGAAGAAGAGAGAGAAATAGGGGCAGAAAATTTATTTGGAGAAATAATAGTTTAAACCTTCTCAAATCAGGGAGAAAACAGATCCAAAACCAGGAGGAACAGAGAGCCCACAACAAGATCAACCCAAACAGGTCCACACTAATACACATAGTAATTAAAATGGCAAAAGGTAGTGAGAAAGAGAGAATATTAAAAGCACAAAAAGAAAAGAAAACGGTTACATACAAGGGAAACCCTATAAGGCTAACAGTGGATTTTTTAGCAGAAACTTTGCAGGCCAAAAGGGAGTGGCATGATATATTTAAAGTGCTTAAAGGAAAAAACCTGCAGCCCAAAATATTCTATCCAGTAAGGCTATCATTCAGAATAGAAAAAGAGATTAAAAGTTTCCCAAACAAACAGAAGTTAAAGGAACACAAGAGCATTAAACCAGCCCTACAAGAAATGTTAAAGGGGACTCTGAGTGGAAAGGAAAGACCAAAAGTAGGAGTAAGAAAAGTAGAAAGCTCAAAAGCAGTAAAATTAAGTATAACTATAAAAATCAGATAAGGGATTAACAAAATAAAAGGATGGAAAATATAACACTATATACCTAAAATGTGGGAGGGGAAGGAGTAGAGAATGTGTTGAAAATTAAGCCACCATCAATTTAATGTAGACTGCTATATGCATAAGATAGTATATATAAACCTAGTAGTAACCACAAATCAAAAACCACTCATAGATATGGAAAAAATAAGGAGAAAGGAATCCAGGCATATCACTAAAGAAAGCCAGCAAAACGTGAGAGAAGAGAGCAAGAGAAGAAAGGAACAGAGAACTACAAAACAACCATAAAACAAATAACAAAATGGCAGTAAGTATACTTACCTATCACTAATTACTTTGAATGTAAATGGACTAAATGCTCCAGTCAAAAGACTATATAGGATGATGGAATGGATAAAAAAGCAAGACCCATTTATATGCTGCCTACAAGAGACTCATTTCAGACCTAAAGACACATTCGAATTCAAAGTAAAGGGACTGAAAAGCATTTATCATCCAAGTGCAGGTGAAAAGAAAGCTGGGGCAGCAATACATATCAGACAAAATAGCCTTTAAAACAAATACCATAACAAAAGACAAAAGAAAGACACTATGTAATCATAAAGGGAACGATTCAACAATAAATATTTACACACCCAACATGAGAACAGTCACATACATAAAGCAGCTAATAACAAACATAAAGGAAGTATTAGGGAAATACAAATCAAAACTACAATGTGACATCACCTCACACCTGTCAGAATGGCTAAAATTAACAACATAGGAAACAACAGGTGTTAGCAAGGATGCAGATACAGGGGAAATCTCTTACACAGATGGTGGGAATACAAACTGGTGCAGCCACTCTGGAAAACAGTACAGAGATTCCTCATAAAGTTAAAAATGAACTACCCTATGTTCCACAATTGCACTACTAAGTTTGAAGGGATACATGCACCCTAATATTTATAGCAGCATTATCAACAATAGTCAAATTATGGAAAGAGCCCAAATGTCCATTGACTGATGAATGGATAAAGAAGATGTGGTATATATATGCAATAGAATATTAGTCAGCCATAAAAAAGAATAAAATCTTACCATTTGGATGGAGCTAGAGAGTATAATGCTAAGTAAAATAAGTGACTTCACTGATGTGGAATTCAAGAAACAAAACAGATGAACATAAGGAAAAAAAGAGAGGCAAACTGGAAAATGGACTCTTAACTATAGAGAACAAACTGATGGTTACTGGAGGGGAGGTGGCAGGGGAATGAGTTAAATGGGTGATGGGTACTAAGGAGGGCACTTTCTGTGATGAGCACTGGGTGTTGTAAATAAGTGATGAATCACTAAATTCTACATGAAACTAATATTACACTGTATGTTAAATAACTGGAATTTAAATAAATATTCAAAAAAAAAAAAAGAACTTACACAATTGAACACCAAAGAAACAAATAATCCAATTGAAAAATGGACATAGGACCTGAATAGACATTTTTCCAAAGAAGACATACAGATGGGCACTAGACACATGAAAAGATGCTCAACATCACTCATTATCGGGGAAATGCAAATCAAAACCACAATGAAATATCACCTCACATCTGTCAGAATGGCTAAAATAAAAAAAACAAAAAATAACAAGTGTTGGTGAGGATGTGGAGAAAAAGGAACACTTGTGCACTGTTGGTGGGAATGCAAATTGGTGCAGCCACTGTGGAAAACAGTATGGAAGTTCCTCAAAAAATTGAAAATAAAATTACCATATGATCCAGTAATTTCACTATTGGATATTTACCCAAAGAAAATGAAAAAAACTAATTAAAAAAGATATGCACCCCTAGGTTTATTGCAGCATTATTTACAGTAGCCAAGATATGGAAGCAACCCAAGTGTCCATCATAGATGAATAAATAAAGAAATAGTATGTGTGTATGTAAATATATATAATGGAATATTATTCAACCTTAAAAATGAATGACCATTTGCAACAATATGGATGGATCTAGAGGACATAATGCTAAGTGAAATAAGTCTGTCAGAGAAAGATAAATACCATATGATTTCACTCATATGTGGAATTTGAGAAATAAAACATGTGAACAAAGAATAAAAGAGACAAAAAGACGCTTTTTAAAAAAAATTATTGTAGGGCACCTGGGTGGCTCAGTCGTTAAGCGTCTGCCTTCGGCTCAGGTCATGATCCCAGGGTCCTGGAATCGAGCCCCACATCGGGCTCCCTGCTCCGCAGGAAGCCTGCTTCTCCCTCTCCCACTCCCCCTGCTTGTGTTCCCTCTCTCACTGTGTCTCTCTCTGTCAAATAAATAAAATCTTAAAAAAAAAAATTATTGTAATACCAGCATAGTTAACATACAGTGTGGTATTAGTTTCAGACGTATAATATAGTTATTCAGCAGTTCAATCTATTACTCAGTGCTCATCAAGTTAAATGTAGTCTTAATCCCCTTCACCTATTTCACCCATCCCCCCATCCAACTTCCCTCTGGTAACCATCTGTTTGTTTTCTATAGTTAAGAGTCTGTTTTTTGGTTTGTCCTTTTTCCCTTTGTTCATTTGTTTTGTTCCTTTTTCTCCACATCCTTGCCAACACTTGTGTCTTAAGTTTTTTATTTTAGACATTCTGACAGGTGTGCAGTGATATCTCATTGTGTTTTTGATTTGCATTTCCCTGATGATGAGTGATGTTGAGCATCTTTTCATGTTGTCCATCTCTATGTCTTCTTTAGAGTAATATCTATTCATGAACAGACTCTTAAATTTAGAGAACCAACTATTGGTTGCCAGGGAGGAGGTGGGTGGGGGGGATGGATGAAATAGGTGAATAATGAGTACACTTATCATATAGGGCACTGAGTAATGCACAGAAATTTAAATCATTATATTGTACACCTGAAACTAATATAACACTTTATGTTAATTATAGTTGAATTAAAAAACTAAAAAAAGAAAATTTGGAGTCAAACTTCTTTGGGAAACAAGTTGTTTCCCAAATAGTCCCAATGAAGACTATCATTAATTGGAGAAAAGCATAATTCACGTACTTTTTGTGAGTCTCAAATCTAAGTTGTAATGTACTAAAGTGTGTATCTATGTGTACTATACATAAAATTATATGTACAAATTATTGCTGAAAGAACTCTTTAAATTTTGGACCAAATCTCTTACTTGACAGATGAAGAAACTCAAGCACAAAGATATAGGTTATTTAATTTTATGAAATGGAATATATTCAGGACATAATTTTACATAATTTTCATCATTTCACTTCTAAAAGTTACTATTTTGGGGGCTACCTCCAATTATGTGTTGGTTTACTAACACAGTGGTTTTCATACTGTGGTATAGAATTCTGTGATTCCAGAGAGGTGCCTCAAAGATGACAGGGAAGGAGTGATGAAGCAAGGAAAGATGGGATGGAAAAAGGGTGTAGTGGGCAGTGGGAATTGCTATCTTTTCTTCAACTTGGACAGGCTTGCTTTTATCCATTTTATATATTGTGTCTGCCCAAGATTTCATTTAAAAAAGCGTCCTTCTACTAAATAAAAGTTTGCAAATCATTATAGCTTGAACAGGATATAGCACCTGTATGAAACAGACTTTCTCCACAGCTTAGGATCTGGCATTGTGATTTCATTAGTTTCCTGTAAACATTCGGGGGCACCTGATGAAACTCTTTTCCCAGGAAACAGCATATAGGCACACATTTATGTACCAAATACAGCAGTTCAGGGACTTCCTGAAATCCATTCACAGATCCTGGGTTAATAACACAACTCTGAAAACTTTAGATGACTTAAATAAGAAACTTCTTGTTGAAAAAGAATAAGAATTTGGGATTAAATTAGAATGTGTTTGGAAAATATGGATTTATCTTTAAACACAGCATAACTTTGTAGGGCCAGTTTTTCCTGCCTAATGAAAAACAAATGTACTTTTGACCAAACTTCAAGGATCCTATATACTCTTGTTGGCCACACTATTCTTTTGACTCATTGATTCATTCAACAGATATTTATCAAGAACAGTAGAAGACACTGTGCTAAAACAAATGTAAGTGAATGATTTCAGATATTTGCTTTAGAAGCCATCTATACTTGAGGATATGAATAGTTTTTAGTCCTTAGTGAATTTTACCACTTAACCCCTTTCACCAGGTCTTCCTCCCTCCCCCACCCTCCCTCCTCCTTTCTTGCCCTCCCTCTCCACACCCCCACATCCCTTAACTCTCCACTGGAGTAAGTATCCCTTTGACTTACCTGGGCTGGATCAGGCCTGGATGACTGAGGCCTCGGCTGTCTATCTAAGCTGCTTTCAGTCATGCACGTATTGCAAGTTTCAATCAGAGTACTGTAGGGATGTGCAGGGACACTGGGACTGTGGCACCAAGGGCTGCTATTGGGCAAAGGGTTTGGTGGGGTTTCTTTTTCTCTGTTAAAAAAAAAATTAATCCAAAAGTGAACCCAAAAGGTATCTTATATAGTGGAATTAGCAATGAAGGTTCAATTAAAGTGAAAGCATGTTTTAAGACCAGAGAATATGGCTTTTTTAGACCTTTGGGCAGCACCTTTTTTTTTTTTTTTTTTGGCAGTACTTTTATAACATCAGAAGCATTTGCCTAGATAAGTGTGACATAAATTCTGCACTTTAAGCCACAAGCCAGCTCTTGATCCAAGATGAAATTTCTAGATGATGTACCTCTTCCTCCACCTAAGCACTGCTAAAGACATGGTGATAATTTCATCTCTTCACCTCTCCACAGCCTTGCCTCTAACAGCAGTGCCACTAAGAAGTGAAATGGCCAGAGGGGTCTTGATATTGCCTAGTAGAAGTCACCGCCTTTACTGTTCCATGACTATAACCCTGCTTACTCTGTGTTTTTCATAAAACACAAAAAGTATTATGGCTTTTATGGTCCTATTTGAAATAGGATTTTTTTATTTGATTTACCTATTCATCATGTATCTATTTGTCACCCAGTCATTCCTACTTGCTCAGTTACTAATTGTGGGAAGGACTCAATTAAAAAAAAAAAAGCCAAGCAACTTTTACCTTTTGAGAAAAACTCTGACTCGTTCCATCTGATATTTTGAGATATCTTTATTACATTTATCTTGTTTTTCTTTAGTTGTAGTTATAGCTGCTGGCCAATTAAACATGTGTCTTCGAGACGTTGTACTTACTACTGAGCGTCTGTCAAATTCAATGTCAGTCTCTAATTTCTCCCACGCTTGCTTCCAGTGAATAGGAGTGTACCAGGCAACAGCCTAACAAAAATGATTCATTAATATGAAATATCAATGCAGTTAGATAGATTTTTTTAATGTCATAGGTTTATTGCAATAACATTTCAAAGTCAAACAGTTTAATGTCACTTACCTACTGTGTGTAAATTAGTGGAACACAATGAGGATGTAGTAAGACATCCTGGCCTTAGTTTCCAATTCTGAAAATGATAAGGGGCATAACCTCAGGCAGATTAGTCACTTACTATCTTGGACTGTGCCCTCATATGTGAAATGAGGGGGGTTATAGTAGGGAATTGCTATATGAGGGTGTTGTGAGATTCAGCTAAACTACTAAATTTCATAACTATAAAGAACTATGCAAAAAGTAGTTGTAATGTTATCATTAAAATTTAAATATTTAAGATATTACATATATATGTATATGTGTGTATGTAGGTCTTCTTTGAAATGGGGAAATGGGCAGTAGAACTAGAGACATGGAGAGGAAATCACATTTTTTGAGTTAGAATCCTAGGTGGAACTATTAAGGAGACTAACTAGACTGAATTTCCTGAGGACAGAAACCATGCAATAGTTATGCTCTTTTTTCCCCAGCACCTAGCATAATGCTTGGCAGACACTAAACATATGTAAATGTTTCCCATATGAATGAATTGGTCAGTTTCATTCTTTTACTAGCAAATAAAATTATTTGTGTTTACATCACCCTGCAGAAATAATCCGATCCTATATGTGCAAAGTACTTCAAACCAGAGTAAAAAGAGTAGTGTAAGTACAAAGACTAATCCCATTGCAGAGAATGACAACTTACTCAAATGGGCATTCCAGGATCTTGGGGACCTGGTTTGTCTGGTTCAACACTCAGTGCCTGGGAACAGTGTGCATACAAAGTAGGAACCCCAAACATGTTTGCAGAGTGAATAAATGGGTGGATAAATGTGATGAAAAGTCTGAAATAAGAATGCCTTAATCTTAGAGTTTTGCCAATGATTTTTTTTTTGAGCCTGAGTAAATAATTTAGATCACATTACCTTATTTTTCCCAACAGTGAAAATCATTAGAAGTATTATAAAATTCATTTTGAGCCCACTAAAAGATCTAAAGGTGAGTAAAGGCTTCAAAATTACATCTAACGAGTGCTCTATCTAAGGACAACTGCTGCTCTTACAGAAAGACATTAAATGGCTCTTAATAAATTAGCAAGTCTACTCTAAAGAAAGAGTCAAACTAAGCATGAGGTATAATGTAGCAAGCAAGACAATCAGAGAGATAGATTCCAATCAACATAATATCTGGATTAGTAGTTATATGACAGTAAGTAAGACTGGAGGTAAGAAAATAAGGAGGCAGGTATTGAAGAAAAATCAAAAGAATGGTTTTGCAAAAGGAATAACTTTTTTGTTGTAAACAAAGATATCTTTCAACTTTATTAGTGTGTATTTGGGCATATATTTATGCTCATATTATGCTAAGGAAAAGGTAGAATGAAAATATAAAACTGTCAAATACTGGGAATGAGTTACCCAAAATTATTACTAATACACTTAATTTTATAGTGAATAATGTATAGTTGTTACAAATTAGACTATGGATCCTATCATTAGAATATTAGTCTCTTAAGAGCAGATATCATGTCCTATTCTACATTACATTCTCAGCACTTATTACAGCCATTGGAATAGAGAATAATCTCAACAAATATTTGAGAAATTAATAAATGAACAGAAAAGATCTCTACGTGGTACCTTCCTTTCTTATTCCACTCTTCAGTCTAAGTATCATAAATAAAATCCATCCTTGACTCAAATTTGAAGTAACTTCTTGGAAATATGGGCCACAAAAATTATTTTTGCCAAATTAAAAGTAGCTCTTTGGCACTTTGGCCCTGGGAACAGGGTGCTGTTGATTTACCTGACGTTATTGCAGTTAGTGATGGTTTAATCTATTAAGGATGGAAAGTACTTGAGTCAGCTAAGAAGAGAAGGGGAACCTAAGGACAGCTATCCATTCTTCTTTTAAAACTTATCGTTAAGAATAGGACACTGACTTCACCATTAGGTTTGCACAGAATCGTTGTACAATTTGGGCTTGTTCTAAACTTGTTTTGTTCTCTCCAAAGAAAATCTGATGGTGGCTGATGCTTTGCTTCAGATGCAGCTGCCCACACCTGTAAGAAAATGGTTTGTTAATGACAAATGCCATTTGAGTTCCATATAGTTTTGTATATGTCAGAGGGTCATTGCAATGTATCATTCTAAACAAATGAGGTTTTAAAATATGACTGTATAATATATAATGTCAAGCTGTGTAACTGTACATGGTTTAAAGGAAAGCACAAGAAAGAGGAAACCTTCCAGCACCAGCTAATTACCTGTTCTCTAAGCAAACAATCTCTTTGTTTTTCTTTTAAGGATTATATTTGCTTAGTTTTAGGAACTTAGGTATTTTGTTTTAATAGTTGAATCATAAAAACAAAAGGTATTCAGGGCGCGTGGGTGGCGCAGTCGGTTACCTCAGTTACCTCACCGACTTTTGGTTTCGCTTCGGTTATGATCTCAGGGTTATGAGAGTGAGCTCTGCACTTAACGTGGAGTCTGCTTAAGACTCTCCCTCTTCCTCTGCCCTTTCCCCCCGCTCTCTCTGTCTCAAATAAATAAATAAATCTTTAAAAATCCCAAAAGGTATTGTACACCCGATTGAGGAAGGCCATGGAAATTTAATTATGGGCATTAATTTACATTCAGGGATGGACAAAGTGGGACAAGTAACAAACAACAAGGAATCACATTTTACCTAGAGATCGAGTGATGAAGAAACTGGTGCTAAGCCAGTCTGGCTGGGTGAAGGAGTTTTTCCTGTAAAATTCTAGATCATAGCATTTATATCTTATACTCACTGTTATTGTGCAATTGGCCTGCATTATGATATTCGGAGGGAAGCGGTACAAAGAGACTGTTTGTCCATTCATATTTTGCTGGAGAATATGACCTCCAATCTCCAGTTCTTTGTCAAGGGAAGAGTTAATGAGTTTCACAAATAAACCCTTGACATTTACTTCAGCTATTTTAATGTCTCCTAGAGCACTAAAAAATAAAGCACAAAGATTATAAGGTAACTTTAGAGAAATGTATCTTTAGCTCATTTTAAGAACTGAATAGTATGCTTTAGAAGTACAACTTTTAAATTGCTGTGTATTCTATTGGACACATTCTACATAGAAATGGTGTATTTTATAACCTAAGACATATGGTTTGATCTCTTAGTTCTGTTTATCTGTGCAACAAAATTATCTCTTTCACAAGGAAGTTAAAAAGTGCCAAAGTATAAATAATAAAGAAAACTTAAAAAGTGTCAAGGTATAAATGCCATAGGAAGATGTGATTATCATTATTTAAATTTCCTTTTATTCATCAAAAAAGCATGAGACATGAAACTATCAAGTAAATAAAGAGGAAAGGTAAACCATTTAGATTATTTCTGATAAAGTTACTGTGAAGATAAATAGCAACTATGTGCTTAAAAGAATTTTGCAAACTTAAAATATTATGCAAATATAAGATGGTAATTTTTCCCTCTAACATGTGTTGAGAGCCTAATATGTACCAGGGAGTAGGCTAATAAACATTTATATGTTAGCATTTCTCAGAGTGTGGGTCACAACCTAATAGTACATCATGAAATCCATTTGGTGGGTTATAGCTGTCATTTTAAAAATGAAATGCCAATAGTAATAATCAATACTTATTATGTGCTGGGCACTTTTTAAAGATTACATCTATATCTACAAATTCATATCCACAATTCCAAAATCCATAAAGTTCTGAAAAACCCCAAAACTTAAAAAAATGCTTTTGATGTTTGATGAGCATCAGGTGTAGTATATAAGAGATGAATTGCTAAATTTTACAGCTAAAACTAATATTAGCTGTAATGCTAATGTTAATTAGCTGGAATTTAAAGAAAAACTTGGAAAAGAATACATTTGAAACAAAATCTGACCTGAATTCCTTTGGTGGCAAAATCTGACCTGAAACTGGGGGCGTCTATTTATAGTCTTTATTTGTGGTTTGTGTGAATTATTCATATGTTTGGCTGTGGACAAATTAATGTTTGATTTTGGATACTTTTCTAAGCCCTGATGGGGTGTTACGTAATATGTGTTCTAGTCATCATATTACTTTTCTGAAATCCCTCAAATTCTGAATTTTGAAACAGATCAAGTCCCCAAATATTTTGGGGAAGGCATTGTGAACTTGTAGATATTCATTTAATTCTCATGATAAGGCTACATATTTCTTACTGAAAGTCATGGTAAAAAAAAATCGAGGGACACTAATATTTCATTAGTGAAATAGGTTTATTTCATCTGCCCCCGGCCCCTCCTAACTCTAGTAACCAATAGTTTTTTTTCCGGTATCTCTGAGTCTTTTTCTGTCTTGTTTTGTTTGTTCATTCGTTGTTGCTGTTTTTAGATTCCATATATAAGTGAAATCATGCAGTATTTGTCTTTGTCTGACTTATTTCACTTAGCATTATATTCTCTGGGTCCATTCATTTTGTTGGAAATGGTAAGGTTTCATTCTTTTTCTTATGGCTGAATAATATATATATATATTACATCTTCTTTATCCATTCATTTATTAATGGGCAACTTAGGTTGCTTCCATTATCTTGGCTATTTTAAATAGCCTACAATGAAGACAAGGGTGGGCATATATCTGTCTCTTGAGATTGTTTTCATTTTTCAGTAAATACCCAGATGTAGAATTGCCGGATCATATGATAATTTTTTGAGGAACCTCCATACTCTTTTCCATAGTGGCCACACCAACTTACATTCCCACTAACTTAGTCTTTGTCTTAATGTCTCTGTGGTATTTGCCTTTACTAGATATGCTTTCTTTTTTGGAACTCCTCTCCTTGTTTACCCAAGTCCCTGTTTTCCTTCTGTCTAGTTGCTCCTTTTCAGTCTCTCTCTCTCTTTTTATCTTTTTAGTCTCTTTTTCAGATTTTTCTTCTTCATCTATCTCTCAGACATTGATCCCTGGGATTCTTCCTTAACCATCTTTTATTCTCATCACATTCCATATATGTGATATCACCTATGAACAGGGCATCAGTAACCATTAATACACTGATGACTGCTAAATCTAAATCTCTTCCTTAGATTTTCCTGCTAAGCTTTGGACCCATAGAAAAAATTGACCACCACAGACCCCAAAGATGCCTCTGAATCAACATGCCCCAAATTGAATTCATCATTTTGGAAGGGTGGGAAACCTATTCCAGTGAATTGCATCATCATTTATCCTGTTGGCCATGTCTGAAGTTTCAATTACTTTCTCAGTCTCTTAACTTTCTTGCCTTATCTGTGACAAATACTATTGATTCTATCCTTTTATCTTCTATAAACCATCCTCTTTTCCCCATCTATTTCCATCTATTGCTGTTGTCTTCATTAGATCCTCCTCACCTCTGTGTGATATTGTAACAGTGTCCTAACTGGTTTCTCCAGTTCTGTACCCTCCTAACTATTCTCTGTTTTGTTTTCAGAACAGTCTTTGTTTGCTATCCAGAGCAAGGATAAATATTGCAATAACTGACCATTTCCTTCCAGAGAAAACACCAACTTCATAGCATGGAAACAAGGCCCTACATAATCTGCTAGCCTTGTTAATCTCTTTTTTTCCCCACTTCCTAGTTTGCTTGAACTTCAACCACAAAGGATTTATCCCAACACTTGTGATATTTCATACCATTGCATGTTTTACCCACTGTCTATGCAAGTATTAGTAAGTACTTCTTGTTCCCCACATTCCTACCAACACTTGAAATTTTCAGACTTCTTAATATTTTCAATACAATGGGTACAAAATGGTATCTCATTGTTATTTTAACTTATTTTCCCCTGATTATAGTGCAATTGAATAAGCTATTTATTGGCCACCCAATTTTCTTCTGTGAATTCCATGTTCATATTATTTTTTCACTTCTATAAGGTTGTTTTACATTTTTATGATTGAGTTCATAGTATTTAAATAAAATAGCATTTAAATATATATACACATATTTTTAGAAGAAGAACTGTGCTGTAATAAAAGAATATTATTCATGTTATTTTAAGTTGCTATAATGGTGATAATTTGTTATTGCAAGCAATAGAAAACTAATATCCACTTATAAATTTTTAAATTGCGTGCCAGAAATGTTGCCAGAGTCTTCTGTCTTCTATTTTTTTAATGATAAACCACTCCTAATCTTCTATTGTTTCTTTGAAGGTAGGTTTCCTTTTTCTCTGGCTAAGATTTTCCTTATGTCTTGAATTTTTCATTTGTTTGTTTGTTTCTTTGTTTAAAGGGGGGTTGGAGAGGAGGCACAGAGAGAGAGGGTGAGAGAGAATCTTAACCAGGCTCCACACCCAGCATGGAGCCAGAAATCAAGAATCTTAACCGACTGAGGCTTAACTGACTAAGGCCACCCCGGCACTCCTCTTATGTCTTCTGTTATAGAAGTTTTTCCAATATGCACCCAGAGGTTTGGGTTTTTCTTTTTCCATCTTTTATCTTTCTGGGAGTTGGTAGTGCTTCTTGCATCTGTGGCTTGATGTCTTTCATTAGTTTGAGAACCTTCTCTGCTGTATTTCCACTAGTACTGTTATACCTTAATCTGTGTCTCCTCTCCTTAAGTAACTTCAATTACAAGTAGGTATATATTTTTTTATCTTTCTCTATTTATCCTTATGCTTGTTTCTGTTCTTCTAATATCTTTGCAATTCAGCCTGGGTATTTTCTTCTAAGAATGTTTTAGTGCAATAATTCTCTCTTCTGTTGCATCAAATATATTGTTAAACCCATCTACTTCTGAAATAGTAATTTCTCTTATTGGATTTTTTTAGTTCTAGAATTTCCTTTTGATAATTTAATAAGAATAAACCAATAAAATATTTAGTTTCCAGTTCTATCTTGTCATTTAATTCCTTGAATACTCAGTCATTGTTATTTTAAAATCCCTGTCAGATAACAATAATATCTGCACCACTAAGGCCTGTTTTTAGTGTCCATTTTAACCTTAGTTTTTGGTTAACTTTTTTCCCCCCATTTTTATTTATTTATTTATTTATTTTGAAATGTTATTTTATTATGTTATGTTAGTCATCATACATTACATCATTAGTTTTCAATGTAGTGTTCCATGATTCATTGTTTGCATATAACACCCAGCACTTTACCCATTTTTAAACTGGCTTCTCTTTTTGTTGTTGTTGAGTTATAGAGTTCTTCATATCATCTGGATACTAGTCCCATCAGATATATGATTAGTAAACATTTTCTTTTCTTCTATGGATTTTCTTTTTGCTTTCTTTCTTTCTTTCTCTTTTTTGGGGGGGGGCGGGGAGAGATTTTTCAGTTGTATGCCTTGTTATTGTTTACTTAGTGCCTAGTATTATAGATTAAAAAAAAAAAAAAAAGCTTCAGAGATAGTTTAAGACTCCGTATAGCATTTTCTCAACCCATAAAGGATTTACTTTAGCTTCTGGCAGCCATCTAAGTTGGGGGTAAATCACTTTAATCAAACCAGGGTGTGAAATGATTTGATGCTATGCCTCAGCTCCAATTAGGATGGCCTATATTGAATATAGCCCTACTATTGGGTGACCCTTTGAAGTTCCAGCTGAAAACCTGTGTTGTTTATCAGTTACTCTCTTTCTGGATAGGCCCTGAAACCCAATTTTTATTCACCTGGTCCTATGAAATTGCCAATATATTATTAACTTCTCAGCTTCTTAGCTGCTGCTTTCAAATTAACAACAGTTTTTAGGAGAAAAGTGACTCCAAGTGTAGGCCATCACTCTGAGTTTCCTCTTCTAGAAGAGGAATTATGAGAATAGAGGATGTAAACATCCATGAATCTCAATATACAGTACTAAACTGTTTTCAAAATAGTGGTCTCACTTCATACTCTCATTGTATTGTATGAGAATGCCTGTTTTGCAGAGGTTCACTTTTGAGTAATTTACATTTGTAGTCTTTTCTTTTGCATTACCATTATGGTTCTTACTAAATTGTGGATATAACATTTTATT